TCGAATGTGAATTACGTAAAGATTATCAGGAAAATATTAAAGAACTGTCATATGTCTGCCGCAGAATATTCAGTGTAATACTGTGTCGAAGAATTATAAAAGAATTAATGCGAAACTGTTGTAAAGTTAGATGTAATTCTGTGTATTTCTAAAATTATATTTAACACTGCGAAAATTGTGTGGAGTGTCACTAAAATTATGAGTCGTACTCTGCGTGTGAAATTATAAGAAAAACTGCGCGAAAATTATGTATGACTGCGAAAATTTTATGGAGCGCTGCGCAAAAATTATACGTGTTACTGTCTGGAAAAATGTTGAAGAACTCTCTTTGTGTAAAAATTATGTGTCGCAGAATTATATGTGGTGTGTGAGAAAAATGTCGAATAACTACTGACAGAATTATGTGTAGCACCGTGTGTGAAATTATAAGAAAAAGACTGTCGTGATGTTATGTGTAGTATCGCTGAAATTACATGTACGTCTTGAGAAAAAAATGTCGAGTAACTACTGACAAAATTATGAGTAGTATTGTACGTCTCTACTCGCGTGAAAAATTACAGAAAAACTGCCGCAGGAATAATATGTGTGTGTCTGAGAAAAAATGTTGAGTAATTACTTGTGCAAAATTATGTGTAGTACTCTGCGGTAAAATTAAGTGTGACTGTGTGGAAAAATGTTGAAGAACTTCGGAACGAAAATTGTGTCGCACTGTGTGAGAAATGCTGAGAGCAAGACTGCGCAAAAATTATATGTGTTACTGTCAGGAAAAACTGTTGAAGCACTCCTCGCGCGCTCCGGTAGCACGGCTTATATAGGGCTCCGGCGGCTTCCGACGGCGGTCGGGCTGCAGCGCGGAATTTCAGGGTGGCATGGTGGTCCCGAGTCGACCTTCATTAAAGGGATTCCACTGCTCTTCAGCTTCCTGGTACTGCATGCGGGTGGCTGGATGACGTGATGCACCGTGACGTGATAAATTGTGATGCGATGTCATGCCAGACGCGTTTGATCGTGTCCATGCGAATTCGCTACGCTATCTTATTCTATGCTATCTTAATTATATTAACAATTCCGTTGTTACGTATGGCCTTCATAATTTCTTATTAATAATATTTCATAGTACTAAGATGCCTTTGCTTGCATTGCCAATATTTTATTCTATAGTCTCGGCCCTTTTTAACAACTGAATTAATAAAATCGCTGTTAACAAAAGTTTCGCTTAAAATATTACTTATGCTACATCTCAGTTAGTACAAATCGGCCGATGGCTACTATGGCCTTTTAATATTATAGTGACGTGAAAGTTTTAAAGTTTTTGGAGGCCTGGATGTTACAGAAGCGCCAGACCAATGCCCTTTCCCCCAGGCGCGGATGACGCCGCATGAGAACGCGGCCGAGACCGCGCTCACAGCCAGCCCCGCAGGCGCGGTCTAACTTACATAGCGACTTTGCCTCGCGGGAAAAACTTCCACCCTTCCCTGGGCCGCCCGGCATGACACACCTGATCTACCGGTATAAGTCTCATGGGTTCCCCCGTCCCTACACTACCCTGTCCACTCTTAGCCAGCGGTCCTCAGGTAGGGGCCTCCCCTCCGGCCGAAGCCAAAAGGTACTGCCGTCGAGCTTTCATCGGATCAGCCGGAACCCTCCCACCACGACAAGGTGGTGGACGCGGGAACTGATTTTTGACCTTTTTTTTTAATAACCCAGGGGAAATGCGTTACGCATCCCCCGGAGGCTCGGGTAAGTCTCTGGGTGTATGTGGGACTCCCTCCCCTTAGGAAGGGGGAAAGGTATACTCACTAAAACCCCTGGGGATATCCACCACGTGTGCCATTATTCGAGGACCCCCCGGTACACTTTCCAGTATTCTTCAGGGGGCCCTTGGCGACTTCGCGCTTGCGCGCTTCTTCCCGCGCCGGCCTATTAGGCCGGCGCTTTTATATTCCTTATCGGCTACGAGGAGGGGACACTTTCCTCCTCGCAGCCCCTCTCTCCGTGTCGAGAAGTTGGGATGGGCCGGGAGCAGGATTACCTGCCCGTTTCCGACCCCCTCCCCTGTCCCCAACCTTCGGGGGATTCAGGTCCGCCATAAATGGCCGACCACCTCCTCCCCTGAGGGAGGAGCCCGCTAGAGCCGCCATTTGCAATGGGCGGCCCGGTCAGGCGCACTAACCGCGCCCGCCCTAATGTCCGGGCTAAAGCCAGGGCACGATATTAGGGCCTTCCGGCCCTCCTCATAGCCGGATGGTGCCACCCCCGAGAGTGGGGGAGTGGTTATCCCTCAGAACCTTCCGGAGGCGAACACCGCCCGGCTCACTTTCATCTGACCCCACCAGCTCCCCCCATACGGAGTAGGGGGACCTGGTGGGCCCTCAATCGCCTACCCCTCCTCAGCCTCAGTACCCGAGGAGAGGGTATCTCTTCTTCCTCCTTTTCCCCACTCCTCCGCTTGTCATCCATCGACGGGGAAGGGGAATAGGGGGAGAGGGGGGTAGTTTGACCCCCACCTCTCCCCTCCTCACGCGTTTGGCGGCCTCCTTCTGCGACATAACGTCATAACAGAAGGAGGCCATCGCCTCCCATGCTTCCCGGCTCTCGAGCATCTTTAGTACGATGCTCGGGAGCCGGAGATCTTGGCCGGCCACTGTAGTGAGGACTCCGCGCTTTCGAGCCCACGCCGGGCACTCCTCCAGCGTGTGCTCTGCAGAGTCCTCACTAGCCGCGCAGTGGTGGCACTGCCGTGCGCTCTTTGCCTATTCGACACAGGTATCGACCGAAGCAGCCGTGCCCGGTCAATACCTGTGTGATGTGATATGTCAACCCGCCATGTGCCCTGCCGACCCTTCCAGCAGGCAGGGGCGGATGGCCGCGATGGTCCGTACTCCCGGCGTGTTCGGGGCCCCCAGCGATCTTTGCCATCGCCGAAGGGCCCTACGCCGGGCCGAGTCGCGTATCCTCTAAACGTCCCTGGCCATGACCGCATGGTCATCCTCTCGCCGGCGGAGCTCCGCCACCCTGTTGTACGTTTCTGCGTACAACCGCGCCAGGAGCTCCGCCGGTATTATGCCGGCCAGGGCCGTGACGGCTGCATGCGACACCGTCCCATACGCCTTCACGAGGCGGAGAGGCGGGTGGCCATTAGTCGCTGCGCAACATGCAAGGTTGCTATGATGCACCGCTTGGTTTCCGCCTCTCCCGCCCAAACTAACGCCCCATAGAGGGCGATGGACGAGACGGTGTTCGCATACAGCCTGCGAACCCGGTTGTCCGGACCACCGATGTTGGGGAGGAGGCTGCACAGTGCAGCCGCGACTCTCCCCAACTTGGGACTCAGCCTCTCAAAATGAAAGGTGAAGTCCCACTGGCCATCCAGGTGGAGTCTCAGGTATTTGATGCCTGGGTTCACCTGCACGCGGGTTGACCATAATGCTGGACCTCAAGGGCACCCCCGCTGACCGATCGTACACAAACATACACTCGGTCTTTTGGGGGGGGGGCCAACCGTAGGCCCAGCTGCCGTATTGAGCGCACAGCACACGCTACGGCTGTGTTGCCTATAGCCGTAGCCTCCTCCCAGTCGATACCTCCCGCCAGCACCAGGGTGCCGTTTGCGTAGCAGACCATGGTGCAGGCGGGAGAGAGGGCCGTTCTTAAGACGCAGTCGTACGCGAGGTTCCAAAGTAGGGATCCAAGTACCGACCCCTGTGGAACTCCGCAGTACATTCCCCGTCCGCATTGGAGTCCAGCAGCGTTGCTGAACTCCAATTTCCTCTCCCGGAAATAGTCCCGTATAATGTGGACTAGGTAGGGCGGGAAGCAGTGATAGCGCATCGCCGCCTCTACCTGGTCCCAGGGGAAGAAATTAAAGGCGTTGGAGATGTCTAGCGACACCACCAACGCCCCCCCCTCCGCCACCTGTTGTTCTGCAAGGGACCGCACTCTCAGGATCGCAGCTACTGTTGAGCGGCCCCCACGGAACCCATACTGTCCATCAGACAGGTCGGGACCATTCCGAGAGAGGTGATGGACGAGGCGGGCGACGAACACTCTCTCAAAGAGCTTGCCCACCTCGTCCAACAGGCAAATCGGCCTGTAAGCGGACGGGGCCCCCGCTGGTCGGCCCTTCTTGGGTAGGAGGACCAGACGGGCCCTCTTCCATCGACTGAGAAAGACCCCCGCTCTGAGGCAGTCCGTAAACAGCCGCCTCAGGCGGAGGCTCAGCTACTTCAGGGCCAAGGCCCATGTCGTGCCAGGCACACCATCCGGCCCAGGGGCTTTCGATTTGCCCTCGAGCCTTTTGGCAGCGATTGCGAGCTCCTGCTTAGTGACCTCCAGGTGCGTCTCCCATCCAGGTGGGGGGTCCTCGTACGGCAAGGTTCCGGCCCCGCCGTAGGAAAGAGGGCCCCCACGACATTGTCGAGCGCCTGGAGGTCTAGGTCCTCTGTGGCTGGGGACGCCCATGTCCTCAAGCGTCCGAGGGCAATTCTGTATGGGCGCCCCCATGGATCCCTATCGAGCTCCTCGAGTAACCGCTGCCATGCCTGGGCCTTGGCTCTGACTATGGCTTTGCGCAAATCTCTCCGCGCGGCTTGGAGAGACCTGCGCGCAAACCCCCATTCCAGTCCCTACCGCCGCGCCGCACGCATGCGCTGCATGCGTCGGCGGAGGAGGATGATGGACCCACGTAGCTCCGCCACCTCCTCGCACCACCAATAAGCGGCGCAACGGGGGGTAGGCCGAGCTCGGGGCATGGAGGAGTCACAGGCTGCCTCCATGACTTTTCCGAGTCCGGCCGTCTCCTCTTCAATGTCCTCCCGGGCCAGCAATGGGGGGGGGGGGTTCAACCTCCTCGCCCAAGAGGACGCTATCACCGACGCCTTAAAGGCGTCTTCGTCCAGGTGGCGGAGTGCCCAGCGCGGTGACCTCAACTCGGCCCCATCCCGGCGACGACGGAGCACCTCCGTCAGGGTGGAAACCACGGACATCTCGATCAACAGGTTATCGGAATTGATGTCCGTTTCGGTCGCCACCCTCCATCTCCTGATTACGCCCACCGCAGGGCGATTGCCGAAGGTCAAGTCCACGATGGACTCGCCCCGCGGGCGCACACAGGTGCTCACGGAGCCTGAGTTGATCAAAAACAGGCCCATCGTCGCCGCCCACTCGAGAAGATCTTGGCCTTGGGGGTCCGTCCGCCGGGAACCCCACTCCCTGGCGTGGGAGTTGAAATCTCCGGCGACTATCACTGGGTGGGGCGCGCACATGTCTAACACGCGCCCCACCTGCTTCAAGAACCCCCCGTAACGGGTCCACGACCATACCCTCGAGCGTGGAGGAGCGTACACTGAGACCACCCTCATTGCGCCCCACTCCGCCGCCACAATGTATTTCTTCGCCCTGATTAATTTGGGGCGGGGAGACTCCTCACCCGCGCGCCAGTATATCGCAGCGTTCGGGAGCTCATGCCGGAGTCCCAACCACTTATTGTCCCTCTCAGGGATATGGTGGGGCTCCAACACGAGCGGTAATCTGCCATTCCGCTCCGTGAGAGTCTGTAAGAGTAAGTCCTGGGCCCCCGCGGAGTGGTTGTAGTTCGTCTGGAGGAGCCTGGTGGCCATTTTTAGGCCCTATCCTGCCCCTCCAGGCAAACTTCGTCATGGTCTGCCGGCGGGAGACAGCCGTTCTTGCCCACCGGCAGAGGATCCGCTACTGTTGGCATCTTCTCCATCTCTACATCCATTATCTATAGAGGCCTAGGCCCCTCCAAAGCCATCCCCCCTTTACCCCTCCCTCCCCTGGGCTTCCTCTGTTCCAGGGGGGGGGGACTTCTTTTCGACCAGTGCGGCCGTCTTAGCCGAAGGCGGCTGAGTTACTGCGGCCGCACTGGCCGCTGGAGGGGAAGCGCTTGCCGGGGTTCGGGCTTTCCCCACAGCGCTTCTCCCTCTCTGATTTTTTACCTTGGCAACGCCACCCAAGATGAATCTGCTAAAATCAGTAAATATAATAGATCTTTTTAAAATTTGAAACAGTATTTTGTAAAACTTATATTTTTCGAGATATTTCACCGGTCCGATACTTTTGCCCCACCCTATATATATGTATATACATATACATATATATTGCAGAACTAAATATTTATTACACACACATACACACACACACACACATTTATATATATATATATATATATATATATATATATATATATATATATATATATATATATATA